AAAGGAGGATCAACCAACAGAAATCAAGATCCCTTCCCTCTTTTAAGAACATCTAGCAAATAGAACTGTCCTCATGCTTGACTATACCAGCTCAATCTCTACTTGAAAACAAAAACAAGATTAACTCTTAAAATAAAACAGTTTAAAATTACTCAAAATAAAATTGGTACCTCCAAATGTCTACTATCTATTATGAGCCCAAATAATTTGAAAGAGTCACCCCAAGAATGTTCATGGCTATTTTCTAGTGAAATCTGAAGACTCCACAACAAATGGTGATGAAAGATGCAGTCACCCAAGGGTGATATTTGTTCCCGTTCCCTGTGTTTCATTCTTGAAATGAGTCATTTATGCCTTGAGAAACTGACATTTAGAGAAACAGAAGCTAAAAAGAGTGCATCAAGATCCTGCTCATCAGCACTGTTTATGAGAAATTAGTTATACATTTACTCAATAATCTTAGCTCAGAGATTTGGAAATTATTATAAAAAATTTGCAGAAAAATAAAACCATGGAAAAATTTTACTAAAAGTGTCAAAGTGTTTTAATGGAATGTGCAATGCTGACATAAATAAATATATAGTAACTTCAGAAATATAAAAAAGTATCAATTTAATTAGCCTGTTCCAGGGATCAAAACAGACTTACAAAATATGAATTTAAAATCCAACTGAGGGGCCAGTAAGATGTTCAATAGACATTTGTCACCAAGTCTGACAACCCAAGGTAGACATCTGGACCCACTCGATGGTCCCTAAGTGCATGCACACGTGACCCTATTCACACACACACACACACACACACACACACACACACACACAAAATAAATGTAAGAAAAATGAAAATCTTACTGAAATGATCAGGTGATCCAAGAGTTGAAAATACACAAGTCAGGAACTGAAGTCGAACTTGAACTTCAGCACTGTGGCTGTACCTACAAAAAGTCATTCAAATAATTAACAAAAGACCCCATTTCTTCGTGTGTGTGTGTGTGTGTGTGTGTGTGTGTGTGTGTGAAGAGGGTCTCCAACTCACAGCAATCCTCATGCTTCACATTCCCAAATGCTGGGATTACAAGCCTGCATGATCACACTTACCAAGATTGAGATATTTAATGTTCTTAATAAAATGTTCTACAAATATATTACATTTCCTAATAATCAGTAGAACAAAAGAAATGTCATTTTACTATTGTGACAGACATATAAATTAGAAGTTAACAAAGAAGACTACATTTTTAGCTACAACTCATACTTTGTGTCACTGTAGTTATTAATACTATATACCTTAAATGAGAAATGTAACAGTGCACACATTTAGTTCATAAAGAATATAGCTTACATAAAATTTGCCTCATAAAGGCTATTTCAAATCTTAATAATTAATTGAACAAAATTTCATATTAATGTAAGAGTCCCTATGCAGGCTGGTTCAATAAGTAAGTTCACATGGTTCTCTGGAAACTGAGTTTGTAGGCATCTACAAAGCACCAGCATTCTAGAAGCCAAGTGTGTTACAGTGTTAGTCAAAAAGGAAAGGAGTTAGTTTTGAAAAGGAAGACAATATCCAGAATAAACAGAGGAAAAGAATATGGTACATTTAGATGAAGCTGTTACTGAAAAGTAAGAGAACAGGGGAGAGGGTTACAGTAACAAATTCAATTTGCATGTAACGATCCTGTAGGCAATCCAATAGACAGTTCTGAAGAATCGCTGTCTGAGATATATGACTAAGCCATCAAGAGTTCTTATCTCTGTTACAGAACAAAACACAAATAAATTGCTCAAACTGTTTTGCCAACTTACAGCAACAGCCAAGTCTAAGCCCTAATCTATCTTCTACTTAGCAAACCATTAAGAAAGTCTCTTAATTTTTATTCTGGCATTTTCCACAAAGTGTAAAACTTCAAAAACTTTCTAAAATTACTTTTAAAAGAATTAGCTTTGCTATTAAATTTCAATATTTCAAATATCAAATATTCTAAAGACTGAGATAATTGGATATATCTTTGCAGCTCTTTGGTGGCCTTTAAATGTATCAGTGCTCTTTGTGAAGATGAAAATACCTGGGCTAGGGAAAGTACTCAGCAACTCTCACTTTAAAATGCTATCAAGGTAAAATTTAAGAGAGGCTGTTTTAATTTTCTAGTTGTTAGCCAAAAAAAAATACATTTTATGCCAAAGATGTTGAGTACAGGTTCAGCCAGG